AGCCGGCGGAGCAGAAGAAGAACGAGGTCATTCCCTTTTTGACGTGTGCCCCACGCTTTGCAACAGCTTCTGGCCTTATGTCGATAGGTAGCCACGCAACTTCCTGTGTGGATTTTCATAAGAAATCCACTTCTAATCCTGAGCGGTGATGAAGCTCGTCGAAGCCACTAATCCTGAGCGGTGATGAAGCTCGTCCAAGCCACTGTTCGCTTGCGGTCGAGTAGCTTCCGACACACATCGACGCTCGCTCCTACTCAAGGTGTGGTAGATAACTGCACGAAGCGCTGCGCGAAAGCGACGTCTGCGTGGGATGTCGTGGATGGTGAAACGGGGAGCAGAAGTCGTCTTCTCTATTTCCTTCGAGCTTTTAGAAGGATTGCTTTGGACGGAGGCTAAGACAATGTCGACCTTTTAGAACGTGGACTTCCGCTCCGGTGCGCTTCGTCGAAGTGAAACTTTCTTCTTGAAAGGCGGCTGTACCACCTATAGCAGGTGGTGAGAGAACGTGCAGTACTGCCCATCGATGACTGCAATTCATTCCGGGCTTGAGTGGCTGAGCGGCTAGATTGGTAGCAATGAAGTAGATAATCGTGTCGATTACTCATCGTTCGGTTGACGACAACATATAATCAACAACAAAGCCAAATATGGTTCAGCTATAGTATTGTTCTTCGAATAGCACCCTTTTCCCATGTCAACTTTCATAGTCCTGCTTTGGCGTATTCGCGCGCAAATTACTTCACAGTTGAGGTGCAAAATTTTTTCAAATTTTTCCGGACACCCTAATAATCACCCTCTCGTGTTGAGTATGAAGATTTCGTATTTGAAACACCACACATCAAATTCTAGTTTCCCACAAAAATCACAATATTTTCAGATCTACAGTGACCACAAAGGAACTGATCCAACGAAGGACACCAGGTTCCAGCAGTGGAAGACTATTATTGCACTGACACAATGAGGGCTTTCGTTTGCAAGAGACCAGCTTCGTACTAGACTCTTAGATTTCATTAACTCATGTGAAGATTTTCTTAAATGATTTTTTTTGATTAATACAAAGTATGGCGTCATGGTTAACAGTGTACCGGGAGAGGACATTTTTTCTAAGAGGGACTTTGGTAGGGACCGTCCCAAAACAGTGAACACACATTCTTGACGTCGAAAAGTTGGATACAACCTTGCGAAGAGACTTTGTAGTGGTCAACGAGCAGTCCTCAATCGTTTCCAAGTATCGGTCACACAACGGTGCTAACTTGATGGATCCTACATGTAATGAATCCTAGCACGTTATCAATCGGATATACGTCTGGCTCCTTATCAGAACACGGAAGGAATTTTCTGGGAGTGGGTACTTAGCCGAGACGTCTACGATTTCAACACTTGTCCTGCCCTAGGGGTCCCAGAACAGTTCCCAGAAAAGAGAACCCTTAAAGCAAGAACAGTCGGACCTTAATCCAAGACGTTTCTTTGTTTTGGGATTTCCGAGGAATGTTACACGTTTTGCTTCCACGAAGACAAAAGCTATCTATAATATTCACCATTCAACTCTAGCATTACTGGTGGTGTCTGAGAAAAGGGAACGAAACGAGTTCTCCCCGTGTACTCCACGAAGAGTTTGGGCCAAATAGCTTATGGAACGTGAAACATTGGAGAAGCTGGGCTGAGGCACTCATAAGGATGTCCACTATGGTAATGAAATGAATGTGGATGCTTCCAAAAGAATTTTGCATATGATAGAAAGCCTGTACTAATCATCTTTTCCCATCCCACTCAACAAGGTTACGGCTCAGCCAAATACAGTTACATTGCAAGCACAAGGCATACAGTTATGCTAGTTCGAAGCCACAATTCACGATAAATATTCGGGGTAACTAGTTCAGGACGAATGATAGTCAAGATGATTGCAAAAGTGGCGAAGAAATGGTATTTTAACGAGCTCCAAATGTGGGTCCCACTGCATACAGCTGGTTACAGTATCTGCCTGAGTGCAACTGAGTGTCCAGGCGCGAATGGTGCAGCAATGGAATTCCGGCAAAAGAAGCAATGGAATTTGAGGCTCCAGGGGAGCGACCACACGAAGCTACAAAAAGGAATAGGCGGAACTCGGGCAAAAAGGATCTCGAAACTGAACTGGACGAAAGTGGGGACGACTGACAAGAACAGCGGATCCTGTGACGACGCGAAGTTAACGCCATGATGTTACTAATCCTTCTCTTCCGTAAAAAGGTTCTTTTGTGCACTCTGCACTTAATCACTAAAGAGGCTTCTAACACGTTCTTACTCTTCCTTTCCAAGCCATCGGTAGGGAAATGACCTCTTCATCCTTTGCCTGTCCTCCTTCTCAGATGATCTTCAACAATACTGCTCACCGACCTTGTAAAAGTAGACATCTCCTTTGCCTATTTTGTGTACCGATTGTGCCTGATTCAGGCGCAGTCGATCGCGCAGCTTCATAGAAACTGGATTTGGTGGTTGCAGAAGTCGGTCCCCATCAAAATCTGTCAAAAGCTTTCCACTTTTGTGAACCTTACGATAGTTCTTGATTCTACAGTTCTTGGCACATTCAAGCGACGAGAAAAGCGATTTTCCTGAACCTGCTAAGGTTGAAATCGACAATAGAACTACTGTGTGGAGGTGTCTCTATCGTTTAGAAAAAGAACCAAAGTTTCCACGACCGTTACAGTAAATGATCACCACGCAAAAACTACTGCCAAAAGCGTAGGGCTCCTCGCAGCTGAGGGTCCAGGGATCACTATTTGTTTCAACGATTTTGTCCTATCCTTTACAGATCGTTGAAATTCTGTTTTTTACTAGCTTCCTTATGGTAGGATGATAAGATTGAATTTGTTCAAAGTCCGTTCGGAACCACACCTTTATTGGTTAGTACCTTCCGGTTTTTTGAATAGTCGCTTTTTCTCCCGACGCCAGGTATCTCGACACACTATTAGGAGCAGACTATCGACAAGGTACTTTACTATTCGAACACTTGAGTTCTGGGATTATCTGGGTAAGCTTGACGAATAAGTAGAATTTATTGGCAAAATCCGCACCAGCCCGTCTATCGGGAATTACTAGGCTCCCACTCCCAATTCAGATGCTAGAACGTCCTCCTAGAGTGTCACAACAATAAATTTTTCGCATTCTGATGGTCTGGACACCTACCGTTCGCTGACATCACTCGACAAAAGCTCTTGAAGGAAGCGCCCATTATTTTGTTTTAAATGTCCTACGGTCTGCGTGACTCAGATGCTGTTTCGGGGAAGAATGACGTTCATTTGATGGAGGTGCTATCTAGAAGTACTACTTGACGCTACATAAATTTGATTGTAAGCAAGATAAGGGTAGACTGAAAAGCGCGACCATGATGTTCGCTCTCGTATTGTTGGTTCTTCCAGTGACGATTGCAGTTTGCCCCCAAGGCAAGGTATTCGCCAAGAATTCGATCGGTGAGTATTCATGAGAATTTTTTAGACTCCCTTTTCAAATGTGCACCTATCCCTTATCAATCTCACTTTCCTTTTCGCGATGCCGACCTTTCAGGACATGAACGTTCTCGAAATCAAAAGTTTGTTTGTAGTTGAATTCATGTTTGTGTTACTATCAGTTCAATTAACATGAACATAGTACAAATGAATAAACAGTAAGTAGGCATAAGTAGGTACATGAGTGAGAAGGTGATCCTATTTGGGTAAAAGACAGGATATCTGGCTTTGATCATCCGTCTTTGGGATGCGCCTGGCATTCGACTTCCATCGAGAGTCGTAGAGGCGGTTTGGTTGCGTATGTGGCACATACAATGAATAGACATAGACAGACGATGTACAAGCCAGTGTAATCATCCTTTCAGTAGTGTCTGGTACCAATCAACCGACCTCAGTCAAATCGGAGGCTTGGTTGGCCTGGGTGTGGATAGGCCCAGATCCCTGGACGATGCACGTATGACAACCCACCACTTGCCACTGAACTACCTCTGCCCTTCATTAGTTATGTTAATCGAGAAGAACTATTCGTTTCACTACTCGGTTCCAGCTTACCGTATAATAATCTTGCATTAGTATCATTTTGAAAAGACTCTCTTTTGAATTCGCTATCAGTGGGAGTGTACTGATTACAGATGTTACAAGTTCTCCAGCGTTGCAATGTCCTATTCTATGGCTGAAGGTGATTGCATAAACCTTGGAGGACACCTTGTTTCTATAAGAAACATCTACGAAAATGCTATTCTTATTGGTAAGGCAGTGTTACAAAACTTAATAACGTTTATTGCTATTGCCAAAAGAAGGTACGATAGTTAATTCAAAAGAAGCTGCACTCAATCAGTTCTAGATCTAGACCNCCCCCCCCCCCCCCAAATAGAGTCGATCACCTCACTGTTGTAAGTAAGGAAAATCCGCTCACACCTAGTCTTTTCCTTACAGAAATCGCCCAAGCCGATCGTATCACACTTCCATTTTTTATTGGATTAACTAACCTCAGTGGTGGACCTTGGAAGTAGAATGATAACACTCCTGTTGCCTACTTAAACTGGGCTTCAGGCAAGTTTTGCAATACTCATATGTTTTTTATATTTCCATAATGAAATTGAAGGCAAAGTACCTTCTTTCCACTTCTTCAAAGAGTTATGGACCATTCTTGGAAGCAGCTGACCTCGGCAAATGACATGGTCTCCTCATCAGCTCAGCTAGGAAAATGTTGGGGTAATAGAGAGCCGAGGAGTAGGGAGGAGGATAAACGATGTTTCGATCATCCTTGTGAAAGGGATCGAAAGCGTATTGAACCATAATGGTTAGCCTGAGAGCCTCTCCTCAGTGCCTTACTAGGCGAAATTAAGAAGCGAGAAAAAGTAGTGGTGCAGTTGCCCCCATGGCTAGAAGACCGAATCCAAAGAGATTTATTCTGGGCTGATGAAGTCTCATGTAAAAAAAATTCGTCGCACCATCAGCTGGGACAAGTCAATTTATTATTAAAGAAGAAAACACACTCGACGGCATCCTCGATAGAAATCGAAGGCACACCCTGAGCACTTAAATGATACTGCAAGCCCTGTATCGGAAAATTGACTCAAAAAAGACGCCTACTCATTTGAGCCTATGGGCTAAAACGGGGAGCCTCTCATGACCAACGTAAACTCTGTTTCGCCACACCGTTAGGAACACATTGAAGCCTTCTATAAGAATCCTACCTTAAGCTAATCTCATTTGCCCATTTTCTTGAAAGCAGTTTCAAATGTATTATGTTATCACTTCTATTTTTCAGGTCAACCCAGTAGTGGTTACCAGTGTTCCGTCTCGGGCTCACCGAGTGGTATCTGGTTGGCAATGTCGTGCTCCGACAAGAAAACATACGTATGTGCTGCTGCCCCTGGATCTACCCCACCAACTGTCCACCCATTTGTCCCCCACAACCAGGTTCGTACACTATTCTTCACTACTTTGCCAGCACCACTACTACAAATAATTACAATTGCTATAAAATTTTTGTTCAGCATGTATAGAATGTAATACTCCTGCTCCTTGTCCCGCCCGCCAGGTTTGAAATGCGACTTGCTTTTTTTGACGGATTTTCGAACAAGAATTTTCGGCCTGCTCATCCTGCCCAACAGTTCCGGTATGTCCTTCACCGAAAGCATTGTTTTGACTTCCCAACGCTAGAAGCTTCTGTTCTACGCAGAATAAGTCCTACTTTCAGTTTGTCCAACCTGTCCAGCGGCGCCAACATGCCCTTCACCAACAGGTAAATATTTTGATGTGTATAGTATACAAATAAAAAACGGTATATAGTAATTGTTATAGAACAACTATTTATTTTTCGGTCTATTTTTCTACTTTAAAAAACTGCAAGGAACTTTGCCTCAGTCAACTGTGCTCAAGAAGCTAGTCTACGCACTTGAGGGTGCTCACCTTGGCCAAGATCGTAGTCTCTCGAATTAAATTTGGTCCACCCTGATGAAATTACGAAGGATAAGGGGCCTTAAATGAAATTGGATATTATCGTGAACTTCGAGAGCTTCAGCCATTTCCAGATTGATTGCATGAGTTCAGTTATTTCTGGCCACTGCCCATCAGAATGGACCTACTTCGCTTATGCGGATTCTTGTTATAAGGTGAACATTGGAATAGCCTTTTTGCTTGTGCTATCTATTTGTTTTCGATTTATATGTATGAAACAACTTATAACACGCATGAATAACTGCATAGAACGGCACACTTCTTTGATCAGTTGACAAACGAACTCACCCATTGACAGGAAATGCTCGTTCACACTGGGGTATGATACAATTCTGGAGCGATAGACCCCTTCTCCGTAGTCTCAGTAGTCAAGCTCTCCTCTCCAAGTGTGGAAGAACTTTGCTCGAAAAAGAAGGCATCTGAAGAAAACGAATTGTAGAGGGATAAATCACAAGTTTTTTCGGAAGATTGTCAAGAATTCCATCCAGTTGTCTTTATGATTAGCAACCGTTTGTAGTTCAGAATAGCAGTTTTTAACAGAAGACTACACAAACCTTCAAAGAAGCTGCAGTAAGCACCCGCAAAATTCCGTTGCAACATGACAGCCACTGCTGTGCTATGAGCTAAACAGATTTTCTTCAAATGGCTGTCGTTTTCTGAAAAAAGTGGAATAAAACCCTTCACTAGAACTAATGCGACAAAGTTCGGTACGGAGATACAGAATAGATGTTGTGAATACCGCGCTTCAAGGAAATCAGTAGAGCTCGAGCTTATATATCTCATAGAGCGACGGGTACGGCTCATAACCTAGCAAATCAATCAGTACATAAGTCAGGTTGGTTCCACAATGTTCTGTAATAAACTCGTAAGCACCAGCAAGTGCGTAACAGACCGCGAGAACAAGAAAATCTGTTTGCTGAGGGATGTGGGGACAGATTCACGAGAGTAATTCCCTACATGAATGAAGATAATGCTCAAAATGAGTTATAAACAAAAAAGATTAGATGATGCACGGTTGAGGAGAAGTTCAACAGGGAAAGATCGATACTGAGCCAGCCATGGTGCGACACACACTTGCAGTCTGTGGCGATTCGTTGGAATTGATCTACAAGTAGAAACACCCGAATGGTTTGGCATCTACAGTTTTTGCATCAATTTTCAGTAGCATGGGCTAAAATCGCCCTTATTATATAAGCCTGGAATCTTTTCCAAATTCGTCTCCCTAATTTAGTTTTGAAGCCTTGAAACATTTTCAAAAGCTGCGATAAAGATCACACGTTGGAATGATCGAGGGCTAATCCTGAGGAAAAACCGACATTTCTTGTTCTTCGACTTCTGCAGGGAATTCATCGAGTACTTTGCTCCTCTTTACACTGAGTAAGATGGTAGGACGAGAGAGTATCTAGAGCGAGAAGACGCATAATTTTGCATGGTATTACTCAAAATGATGTTATACCGGTTGAGAGTCAAATCTGCTTCCATTCGATCTTCCGCTTTGATTTTGGTTAAATGTTGTAGTAAGGCGATACAGCTGATGTTTCAAAGCATAGCCCTCCACAAGAACGACCCTCTAAAAAGGTCTGCAAAACGAAGAAGCTCGTCACGCTTCGCCAAGAGAGTACTAGGCAAGGTAACCACCCGTTTGCCGGCTGGTCCTGGTTACCTTGCGTAGTACTCTCTTGGCCAAGCATTACGAGCTTATTCGTTCTGCAGACCTTTTTGAGGGCGTTCTTGTGGAGGACTTCTCAGTAAGTCGAGTATGTAGCTTTTTACCTACCAGCTTAACTGCGGTAAAACTTTCCTGGACGACTTGTTCTCGATTGAATAACCTAAGTTTTTCTGAAGTGATGCAAACTAGAAGGCGGATTAATATCTTCCATCGCAAAACATATATACAGTTGTTTCTAATGATGTTTTGAGTGATTTTGGTGAAATTTTCTGAATATGGTGGTGGCAGTACATTGTGAACCGATTTTTGCTCTTAAAACATTGTTTGGTGCCAACTTCTACGAAGCGGAAACAGTCGTGTCGAGCTGCATATTCTCAACTTGCCTCCATGCACGGTTCGGCTGAAAACTGATTAGCTGCGGGTGAGTCAGCTGCCTTCTACGTTATCCTCGAAGCAAATTTCGTTTTGTCATGGTTAGTGGTTCCCATGCTCTTCCGACTCCTTGAGGTGTTCTTCACATAGGAGCTGAAGGCACTGTATGCTGGCCACTCTGTACATGACAGATATGTAAGTTACGGACTTCTTTACAGAATCCCTTTTATAGAAATGCAAAAACAGGAGACCCTTAAACAAATCCTAATTCTCTGACATGGATTGGCCTATGGCAGGCTGGATAACCGTTAAATACACAATGGACGTGGACTGATGGAACGAGTCTTGACTACACAGCATGGGCAACTGGAGAGCCAAATAACACAGATGGAAATGAGCACTGTGTTCAGTTCGTGAGCTTAACCAATTTGAATTTTACTTGCTCAATATTCTTTTAGAAAGTGAAGCAAAGAATGATTTTGTAATTTTTGCAGATCTACAGCGACCACGAAGGAACAGAACCATTCAAAGATCCTCAGTTCCAAAAATGGATTGACTACTATTGCAATGATGCTATGATAGCATATGTTTGTAAAAAGCCAGCTCTCCATTTTTCAGAATTTGACAACTTTTGCGGATAGGTTACATGGTAAATCATATAAAAGTCATCAGAAATGTAGAAGTTCTTTTTAAAAACTTACATCTATGATAGGAGATTGTCCTCTCAGTTTTCTCTTGCATTTTTTCCAAGGTACAAAAAATCAAGAAAGAAATAAGTGCCACACGTAGTCCTACAAGTACCAACTTATCATTTCAATCACTTCCATATTAACAAGAATAGTCAGACCTTTACTTTAGAAAGGTAATAAACTGGATTTACTTGGACGCGTGCTACAGCTAGTATCCAGAGGCAAAGAAAGATCAGCATCTTTGAAACCTTGTTTCAGTGAGTCTCACTCCTGTAAAGCATGTCTCGAAAATATTTGAACATTCGAAAAAGGTCTGTTAGCATGTGAAAACTTCCAAAACCCTATGAAGCTACGATAACCGGTCGCTTGGGCATTTTATGAAGGCTATATTTTCAAACTCATCTCTGGAAGCGCAGAGCCTAGAAGAGCTTCATGTCAAAATGTATGATATCACACAGGAACTGTACGAAAAAAACTTACTTAGTTCATTGGTCAGGACATGGGGAGGGACTTATTAGTTCGTGGTGATGCTCGAAGATGTGTTCATTTCAATGATTACAAGGCTCGTGTACCCTTTACCAAACGAAGAGCTTACACCTCAGGACATTCTTCGGGAGCTTCGCGGAGAACGGTGATGGACATACATATGTTTGCTTGTGATTTTCTACTTATACTATACTTCTGTATGCCAAAAAATCAAGTTTCCCACTTCATTCACATCCAAAAAGAGAAGTGTTGAAGTTATGAGTCGCAAAATTCACCTTAACCATTTAACTATTGAGTATCGGTTCGGCCATATCTTTTGAACCGTACGTCTAAGAGGATAATATCGTCGTAGAATCTGTGTTATTACAGAATATTAGTTCGTTAATATAAATTATGCAGTTCTGAGTCACATGCGTATTGTTTTCAACCAGAAGTTGTGCCTGATCATTGGGCGGGAGTAAACTCCTCGCGAGTATTTCCTAGTTTTTGTTACGAAATAGTGGGCTTATCGCTACATAGGAAGCTAGTTCATCCCATGATACTGTAAAAACCTGTGATTTGTTTCACCTAGAAAATTCAAAAGAAGTAGTAATACTGAAAAAAGGTAAGGTAACCATAGCCTTCGTTACGACGGTTGCATGCCACCTGATGATTATGCCCCCGACGGCTTGTCACACTGTCAACTACTTGTCGCAAAAAATCTCATTTATTGTCTGTCTGATACATTGCGATCAGAATGTTGGTAGAGGAATCACTGCCGTTTATAGTCTACGTTATTACGACGTTTTCACTATTGGCTAATATTATTCTAATTATCGTCTATTTCTGTTGTCCATTGAAGAAAGTAAAGTCGTACAAATACTTCTTCTTATTTGCTGCCATGCAAGATATCATATATTCAGTTGCATTCCTACTCTCGTTGCCGGTAAGGAGCTTTAGCCAACTCAGATTTCTAGGCATTTTGATCACATCCTAGTCCATAATAAATGTTTTTGCAGGGACTGAAAATAGGGGGTCAAAGTGCTATAATTTGAGGAACATTAGCCCCATCATTCAACTCCCAATCAGACCGTAGAAGCGTTTTGAAGCCTATGTGACATAGACAATGCTTGCAGTGGTCAGCAGATTTACAATTATTTTACTTTTATCCTCCCAAGCAAGTCTCGTACTGATTCGTTGGCTTCTAGGGGTGGTCGATTTGCCTGGCTTGGGTAAGATTCCGACCTCGGGACCATGCATGTGATGGCGCACTCGGGACTACAGCCCTCCTAATCATTAATATGTATAATACATAACAATACAACAATAACAACTGAGAGTTAGTCTCTTGGCTGATTTTGTTGGCTTACTGTGATAAGCTTTTTAGTAACGAAGAGTACATAGTTCTCTGAATAGGAATGAAGCCGACATACAGTCAGTAAGCACCAAAGTATGATGATTTTTTTTTCAGCAAGTCGTCTCACAAGATTACTTTCTTGTGTTCATTGCAACAGGAGTGCTCCGTCGTCGACCTATTGGCTTACTTCTCATTTCTCTTTACTATGGATCATTTTTTGTTTCGACTTTAATAGTGGCCAACAGCTTTATTTATCGTTATTTACATTTATGCAGGTACTTAGGAGTACACGACTGTTGCTCATTCCAAGATATTCAGATGACCGAAACTTTAGAATTCTGGTTTTAGGACAGCACTTTTTGAAAAACTTTCTACAACTAGATGTAGAATGTGGGGCTTCATTATCAACTTACTGCTCATGGTGATGTTTTTCGTGATTCTTTACGTAGTAGCTCTTCCTAATGAAGAACTCGAATATTTCGTGAGGAACACCGTTATTATATCAGGAGTTAATATTAATGACAGCTC